CAAATTTTGGATAGGTCAAATTAGCCTTAAGAAGCCTAAGCCTAGCCTTAGGAAGTGGCTTTGCTAGAAGCAGCTTTGTAAAGCTGCCATGCCTACCTAACACCTTATCCTGTCCAGCATCTTCAGATCAATGATCACACCTGATTTTCATTGATTTCAGAGTACATTATTATATTATAATATTACATATTACAGGTCTTAAATTGCTACCACAGAGGCAGTATATTAATAGTTGTACTCATGCAAAAACAAACAAAAACTCCTGCTGGTTATTGTCTATCTGATGGGCTTCAGAATTTTGTGATAGGAAGATTTGTTTCCCTAAAGTTGAAGCTGAAAGAAAGTGGAAATCAGGGTCAGTAGTTTTGTTGGATAATCAAATCCAAATATAACTCAAATCCAAAATAACTCAAACTCTAAAATGTCTTTAAAAAAAGAAACATGGAAAGTGACTTGTGCTTTTTTTTTTTTTTTAATGAGAGCCTCAAAGTAATAAGATTATATCACTGTGTGATCCTGGCTACATTCTATCTGACCTTTTCAGGATTTTCAAAGGTTCTGCTAAAGGAGGGAGATGCATATTAACCACTTATATCTCATAATGAAAGGAATAGGGGGTGTTAAACGTAGCTTTAAACCAATATAACAACTTGCCAAATGTTAACTATTCTGTTACCATATGTTTAGCAGTCCACTCTTTTTCAGGATAGACAACAGCTAAATTTCTGTTGCAAAGAGCAAATATTAAAAACTGTAACCATTTGCATAGTATATTGCTTTACATTTGGGGAGGAAATTATTTTCTTTGAACTGAGTAAACATTAACAAAAGCTACCACACTTAGTCTGACTAACTAGAACTGACCTGACTGTTACTAAGGCTTAACTGTCCTCATTCCTGTGAAATCATTCCAGTAAATTGTTTTATCTTGGGCCTCTGAATCACAGGCAAAGACAAGGCAATTGTTGAGATGGTCTGCCTTCAGTTAAGATTATGAATGTAATATAGGTAAGTGCCATTATCAGTACTGAAGTAACAGAAATCCCTGTGAAAAAGCAGTAAAAAAAATCCGTATTTCAAATAACTTCTTAAAAGCATTTTCTTATAACTTGTCACAGAAATGCTCTCTACTATCAGGAGAGTATGCTGGCTATTTTCATCTAACTTCTGGCAACAATTCCATGGACAACAGATATCCATGTGGGCTGGTGTGTTTGTTTTAATTTTGTTACTTTGCTCTTTTCTGAGTAAACTAAAGCAAAATGATAAAAGGATAGAGAGATAAACTTGTATTGAAAATCGGAATATCTGGTCATGGAGTAATTTTCTTATTAAGTGCACAGTGGGGACTGCCTTTAAAAGGTTTCACCAAAGATTTTTTTTTGTTGCTTCAAATAACTCTACAGCCTAATTCAGTGGAGTTAAAGGAAATCTAACATTATCTGACCAGTTAAAAAATAGAGTACCCAGGAGACTGGCCCTCTCGCTAAAACTTCAGTAGGATGGTGAGCACCCAAAATAAAATGCATCAGCATCCAGTATAAATGCATCCTATATTTAAGAAAAAAAGAACTCACATTATAGCATTGAGTGCATATTACTATAGTTTTATAATATAAAATAATCTTATGAAAGAAAAGTAATAATGTTATTGTACCCCAATTCCTTGGGAATTGATGTGAGATCGCAAAAAAGACAACCAAATTGTCATCTGGACTCTGGCTGGAAATGTGAATCTCAGTGGGAAAATACACAGCAAATAAGAATTAATGACAGGTTTTAATGTTTAAGATTACTACAATGCCCACTCTACTGGGAACCACATTCTGCTGATGATTTCATTTCAGTATTTACCTCTGCAACTGTTACAAGGCAGAGATCAATGTTCCCTTCTGCATTTTGTAATTTGTTGCACATGGGTGCATTTTGAGTACTGCCAGAAACAAATGATAAATAGCAATGCAAATACATGCTCAGCCAAGGAGATCTGGTGAAAAGTAATTCCTGCAACATATCCTGTTAATGTTCAACTGCTAGTACAGGATTCTTAACAAAAGTTTATGCCACAAATTCTGATCATGTGTTACTGAATTTTCCATTTGATGTACATATTCACATTTCTAACCTAAGACTTGAAATAGACTATTTTACATGTAAATTTCAGGCATATTGCAGCTCATTTTCTTCATCCAGGTATCCTTTCGATTTCAGTAGAAAATCAAAGGGAACTGCTAAGACTTAAATTACGTAGCTATGTATATGAGTTATGGATCTAATAGAGATCTTGAGAAAGGGAGTAAGAAGCTACAAATTACGGTTGTTGCTGAATGTATTTCTGGCCAAGAAGCTAACAATCTAGTGACGGCTGTACTATTATTAATAGACCAAGAAACTATTTGGTAATTGAAATAGCCTCTTACTACTTACAGCACAAGCACTGTCATTCATATGTGCTACTAATCTGAAGAAATAAACAAGGTCTGCCATCTATTTCTTTGTTCCCTTTTGTTCAGTTAGGTAGGACATCCAAACTTGTGTTACAGTTGTTGAAAGGTAGTAGAGTTGAGCGTTAGTGGCTAAAGCTGACATAAAGCCATAGCCCTAGTTTTCCGCTGCAAAATGAAAAGTATTCTAAATTGCTTTCACTTGAAAACAAAGTAAACAAATAACAGACTAAGCTGTAGGCAGAGTCTCAACCTGCCATTTAAGAGATACAGCAGGGCAAATCCTAAAAACACAAGTAGTGCTTAGTTTACTCATTAACAAAACTCAAAATTAAGGAAATAATTCAGTATGCCATTTCTCCAACTACACTAAAAACAATCATTCACTGCCTGTACTGAAAGTAGGATCTATGTTGATTTTGCATCTTATTGCTGTTTTGAGATGAGCTACTATTTAAAGTACTGATTTTGAATACTACATCTTTTGAGTAAACCAATACTTTATAATCAGCATGGCTTAAATGCATAATTTGGCACTGATTCTGCAAGTACTGGGAGGCTAAGCTTATCTGAGGGTCTGTGTTCAAGCATACAGAATTGCAGGACTGTTATTTACATATGTAAGCTATAATATGTCATGAGAATAGGGAAATGCCTGCTAGCCTTTTACTGTTTAAGGACTATCTAAGCAGGAAGGAAAACAGTAATCAGGACTGGAGTATAGCTTGAACTGTCTTCATGGCTGTTTTGGAAGACAGGGTCTGCTAACCGTAATGAATTTGGACCTTGGATAACCTTCATCTTGAATATTAACTACTGGATGCTTAGCTATGTTATCTTTGGATGCAGGAGAGCTGGGAATGTCCTAGAAAACTATCTAAAAATATTCCTGAGAACTGCACCTCAACCTGTTCTTCCATATAAAACAATAGAAATGTGAAAACTACACTAATTGAAAAATTTAAGGCTCCTTCACTCTTAGTTATGAAACTTGAAAACTATCATTTTAGTTTGGAAGCAAATAGACTATGAAACATAAGTAATTCTTCAGTACTCTACATCATAATTGAAAAAAAACAAAGGAAGATGAAAGAATGGTAACAGTTTCTGTAGGATGATGAACAGTACTGAAATTAGGATACATTAGCCCTTTCTTAATCTTTCTGATTTTCATGATACTGGATATGCCAAATGGCCAAAAACTGCTGTAGCCCTGATAACAACTTAATCCACCTGTTTTTTTGATCAAGATCTTCAAAAGTGAAAAGTGATTTTGGCTTAAGTTTGTGCCTTCTGAAAATGAAGTATCAGGATCGCAAAAATCAGCCATTGCTTTGCATTAACTGTAGATCTAAAAATAATCCTGCTACTGCTCCTTTTGCAAATCTAAGTTTCTAAGGTGCTTGTGAGTTTAAATCCAGAGAGGACTGCTGCCATCAGTACTTCAGCTGCATATACAACATATGCTAATGTGACACAGAGCTATGTCTGAAAGACTTCTATATGTAGTTCGATTAAGAACTGTATTCCACTTAATGGTATAAATTTTTCATCTCCAGTAAAAGATTTTTCTTGATGAGTATTTTCAAGAAGTGAAAAGCAGTGACTTGTGACAGGGAGAGGCAGTCAGATGAGTACAAGGTAGGAGGTCATGACTCAAAGAAGTTGATTTCCTACACATAAGAAGTTGCAATACATGCAGTTTTCAGCTATCCTGAAGTTTTTTTTTTTTCCCCACTATATATCCATATTATACTTAAGGAGATAAATGTCATAACTAGTGATTTTTTTTTTTAAGCAATAACCACTCCAGTAACATAACATCAAATATATGACCAGGATTAACCCTGTGTATGACCATTAGACATAAGCTAGTAGGTCATGGCTACCAGTCAGTTCAGTGTTTTCCAGTTCCTGTTTCCAGTGGTGCAGGTCTTGAGTTATGGAATGAAATTAATAGAATTGAGGGCAAAAACTCAAATACATCCACTTGGAAAAGGGAGCTATCACTGTGAAAACAATAAGAAATGAAATATATTCACCCATTCCTTTTTCAAGGCTGTATTTAAAAACAATAGCTAATCATGCTTGACAACAAATCATGTGATATTGCTCAGGCTGATTTTGCTATTTGTTAAAATGAAAACTTAAAAAAAAAAAACAAAAAAACACTGAGAGAAGGCTGCCTGACCAGGATCTGTACCTATATTACCTAACAATTCATAGGCCCTGGGACAGATGCTATTTGCTATTTGCTCCTTTAATCAAAGTGTTGGGTATTTTGACACTTGAAATACTTTTATCAAAGACACTGTCTATCCCTTCTAGGCTTTCTGATTCTTGCTGGAGTGCTGAGGATTTAAAGAGATATTTTGAGGTTGCCTATTCTAAAAGTGACCTACTTTGCCAACAGTCACATACTGAATGTTTAGAACTTTGTGTGTGCATTTGCCTCCAGCCATCTATCTCCCCATCCTACATCAACAGTTCCAAATTGTTTCTTCCACTTTCATAACTTAAATAAAGGATATAGAAAGTAAAATAGTGAGGACAAAGGTAGAATAAGTTTTTCAGAGGGTTTGACTCTTAGGACTACATCTCAAGAGTCCCTTTTTAAAATAAGACACCAAAACAAACAGGATTGTGTCTAACTTCTACAAAATTGCTGGTTTCACAGGAAGAGGAGAATATGGTTACTGTGCTACTCAGCATTAGGGTGAAGCACCATCTAAATTCCAGTAAAGATTAGGAAATCACCTAGCTTGTATCAGCAACCACACCCCCAGCCTTCTACAATGTCTTTGCTGTCAAGCTTGATGCTGTCAGTACTCTTCTCACTAAACATTGGGCCTCCATGCCTCATCATGAGCTCTGTGGCCATCTTCACAAAAGCCTCTTCCACGTTGCTGGAGTCTTTTGCAGAGGTCTCTATGGCACAGATGATATCATAATGTTCAGCCAAACTTTGAGCTTCTTCTAGCTGAACCTCTCGAAGGTCACTTAGGTCAGATTTGTTTCCTGGAAGGAAAGGGAAAAAAAAAAAGGGGGGGGATAATTGGCAAGTATTTATGCTAGTACAAATGTTTAGCAGAAGGTTCTCAAGTTGCCCCAAGGATCTGTGGAATTTCCATTCTTGGAGATTTTTAGAATTCAACAGAAAAGGCCCTGAAAAACCTGACACTAGTATTGCTTTTAGCTCCGTAAGAGCTATTCCAACCTGATTTTTTGTATGATTCTCACATAGAAAATCAACTCTCCATAGCCAGGGTGATAGCACTGAATAGCAGTGGCTGGACACCTTAAATGGGAAAATCAGGCTAGAAATCAAAGCTAAAACCACTTTGCAAGAAGAGAAAAGGAAGACAAAAATGAAAACAGCAGTGATGGTTCCTAGGAAAAACTAAAATACTGATATTAGTAGCCGCAAAGTTATGCCTGAGTTGCAAACATTGGGTCTGTGAGCTTGAACTTCTAGCAGAGAACCTACAAAGCCTGACAGCGCCAACAGTCTGCTGAAGGATATGAGTATCCCTGTTGCCCAGAACATGTCTGCTTGATACACTGGAGCTTCTCTGGCCTTATCATCAGAGTGTCTCCTGAGCAGATCTGCCTCAGAAGCTGGAATTCTTCAATACCCATGCAAGAATTTCAAACCAAGCTACCAAGCTCATGATACAAACCTGGCTCCTTTTTGACAGAAGTTCACACAAACTATTTAAAAAACAAAAAAAGGTTAGAAATTTTTCAATTAGTTCTATTATGGTTTCTATTAGTTCTATTACATATAAGCTAGCTTCCAAAAAAGTAAAACTCTTACCCATCTTAAATATTGCGACTAATTACATTGTACAGTACTCTGTAGTGCTAAGTATTAATATTTTAACTCACCAATCAATAATTGTACAATGTTGGAACCCGCATACTTTCTCACATCCTCGATCCAGCGAGGAATGGATTGAAAAGAACCTCTCTTGCTGATATCATAGGCAAGGATTGCTCCATTGGCGCTTCGGTAGTAACTCTGGGTAATAGTTCGGAATCTCTCCTGGCCAGCTGTGTCCCAGATCTGCAGCTAAACAGAACACAGCATGCAGTGAGACACTGTCTAGTTTAAATATACTTTATGCTTCGCACTTTCAGGTATCTCTTTTCTTGGGAATAAAGAATTATGAGTAAAGACTTTAGAGTACATGATGCTTTCCTGATTAAAAAGATAGAATTTGATTCAATAGATTTGTCTATTATCTCCCTTACATGTAATACATTTTACAGTCATTTTTTCCCACTAGTCTTTTGTTAATGATTTAAGGAAAATAACTGCACACCAGAGAATATTTTCACACATGGGTGCCCAGAGTTAACACCTACCGCAGTTCCTGGGACACTCTGGGTTCATGCTGGTAAACTCTGATGCATCATCCTTTGTGGCAGTTTAGGACAGTTTCACTTTCACCTGTGCCACCCCACCCCTTTTCCTGCTTTCTTCAGCAGAGTTGGCCAAACAAGATGTCAGGCCTCCAAGGGCTAAGAAAGCACTGTAGACCTAGTGTGTCCCTGAAACTACTGCTAAGTCTTCACTAGCATATCATCTGAGATATTGATTTGGCTTTGCCACATCTGCCACAGGGGCAGTAACTACTTATCAGTCAGAGTTGGAATAGGAGGTGGTGGCATCATCTGGGAGCACTGTCTTTTTGATATGGAAACATGAAACAAAATCATAGCATAAAAGTAGTGCCAGGATTCTAGGATTCAGTGAAATCAAAGATCTACATGTTCCGCAACTTGAACTGTTTCAAATAGATATCCGTGTTTTGTTTGTTTGTTTTTAGAAAAACATAGCCAATAAAATTATTGATACATAAGGAATATAAGGTTGTTGTAAAAATTCTGTCTGTCATCCTGTCCTTTTTTAGGTGACAGAGCTGACACTGTGTCTGAACAGAAAGAGGAAGTGCTCAGCTTACATACTTTTGCCTAAATCCAGTAGCATAAGAATCACAATTCTGCTGTTGGGGTTTGAATTCTCAATGGTAGGTGTTTCAGAGGAAGGAGACAAACAACTAAGAGTGGACAAACAATATTTTTAAATCCTCTTGTTTTAAAGTTGTCTTATGTCCTGGAACATAACAGCTTATATCCTAGAAGCTTTTAATCTAAAGGAATTCATAGATGTTCTCATTCTCCATATAAAGCTCTAATCCTTTGTGAATCCTTCACAGCTCTTGGCTTCAGCACATAATGAGTGTCAAAGACTTATCTTTTATGTGTAAAGTGTAAAATGTACATAGCATAAATGAAAGTGATTTAGCTGTAGAGTGATTGAGTAAGACAGTCTTTGGCCTTGTGCTGTATGCTGAATTGGAAACCTCTGCATACATGCAACTTTCATAGAATCACAGGATCACTTGAGTGTAGGTCTTCCTGAATGGCAACCCTGCTCTTCATTTATCTACTGTACTTTCCAGTGTGGTGGTAATGAGGCAACATTCCCTTTGCAGTGATGCACCAATCCTCTTCCTATCTAGTTGCCAAGCCAGCTATCTCTTACAGCACTGGTGGATTTTTATTTATTTTTAACACAAGTATCTATGTGTGTTTGTAGGACTGAGCTTAAAAAACTGCTGAAGTTCTGAGTGTCTGGCAAAAAAAAAAAGCACAGATCACAAGTCAGATGTTCTGAGCAGCTCAAAGAGCAGTCTTTCTCCCAAGCCACATCTTACAGGTAAGCTGCTCTTAGCTGCTCTTGCTTCATATTCCCTGCTTGTCCCTTCTCCTTTACATAAGGGTTGTGAATCATTCAGCTTTTCACAAGATCTGTAATTTGTTGTGGTTTTGTTTTCAATGCTGAGATTGCAGAATGTTTTAGATTTACCTGCGTGACTTACCCCTTAAGTGAATACTTTGCAGACCTATATACAAATTAACATACATCTGCTTGTCACTGCTCCCATCTGTCCTGCTCCAGAAAGAGCAGGTGGGTGCTCACTCCCTGTTTCAGGCAGAGTCAGCCAAGTAAAGACATGGTTTAATGATTTGCTTAAGCCAAACTAAGACCACATTGTCATGAAGGTCTGCTATCCCAGCTGCATGTTCTTGCCCATCTTTGCATGAAACCACTACTTTTGAAGCTGTACAATGAGTCACATTAACTCACCAATGTAACTGAAAAATAAGGTTTTTACTTGTAGCGTTAATTACACAGCCTTATGGTACTGAGAGCATGCAGACTGCAGGGAGAAAGATATGACTATGACCATCTTTTTCTGCAGTGGCAAATCTTAGTGTTTCTCATTTAAAAGTCAAACCAAATATGTTAGATGCTAAAATCAAAATCACAAATGAACAGTACTAACTGCAGGTTATGGAACAAGCTGTGATGATATATTCTTTATAATGTGGCAGTGTGTTTATGTATTATAGGACGTTTTTATTTCCAGCCAGCAAATCATACATGCCCTTAAAACAGAAGGTGGAGAAACTTCTGATGGCTCTCCAGAAAATCATTCTATGCTGACTGACTTAAAGAAACTTAAAGACTTAAAGAAAGCAGGGATTCAACTAATAGAAACAGACTCTGAGTGACAGATTGACCAAACAGCATAGTAGACAAGTATCTATCAAATGCTTTGATGAAAATTCTTTTTGCATTGCTAAACATGCTCCTCAAATGATAATGTTGAGCAAAGGTCTTCAAAGAAACTTTAAATGTCTCTCCTTACTTCTGTGTAAGAACATAAGTTCTTGCATTGTAAGAATGTAATCAACATTACAAAGTTATTTCCTTTCCCTGATTTCCTTTCCCTGTCTAGCTTTACTTTTATTTGTGAAGCAGCATTAATAATAAGTACTGATAGCTTCCCTTACAAAACACTGCCCCTTTCGTGCCCTTAATTATTCAGAATATAGCAACTTCCGTAAGACTTCCTAGTAGTGAAATGGTGGATGCAAAAACTCTTTCCGCTAAGTGATTCTATACCAACGGTGTTTAATTTCTGCCATCTCAAATGGAAAACAATAATAGACAATACTTTTTGTATGCTGGCAAATCACAACATGTACTTGTAAAATTAAGTACTGAAACAATTCTGTAATTTAATCTGTAAAATCTTTGCCAACAGCAACAAAACTAAGATCTGTATGGCAATATATTTCATTTTGAAGTAATATTCACACAGAGAACAGTTAGGTAAATGAAGTATTGCTATTTGCAGAACCTTTACCTTTACTCCAACATGCTTTTTTCCCTTTCCAACAAAGATGCATCAAGGAAGTAAGACTTTTAAAATCCTTGAACCCAAAGTTTCAGAAATATTATGCAACTATAATCAAGACATTCAGAGTTTTAAACAAAGGGACACTAGCTCAGTTTTAAAATGTTTGTTTCAATCTCTGAATGAGTGTTCAGTTGTGCTGTAATACTGTCTTTAGCCTAATGGAAAATTAAGCTTAAGTCAATGCGGATATGGAGCAGCTGGTGTTCAAATGCTCCATGGGGCTTTTTTAGTACATGCTCCTCTGAAATGACTTCTAAAGTCGAGTTTCTTAACAAGAACCTTGCTTTTTCTTACTTTTTTTTTTTTTTTTTGGCCTTCTGATCATGCTTCTGTGCTCAGGAGCCAAGAACACTGCAGGGAATTGGTACCACTAATACTTACACTGGATAAACATGATATCCTTTTTCTAACCCTAAACAATTAAGTGATTTTCCCCAGCATGAGAAAAGCAGAAAGCAGATTTAAAATAGCAAAAGTGACCTTTTTGAAATGCCTTGGAAACAATCTGTTAAGATAACTTTTACATATGGTTAATTTAACAACCATTCCCCCTCCTTCTCTGAATCTCCTGGTCCTAGATGCTTTCCTGGAGACACAACCATCCAGTGAGGTCCTTTTTGGCTTGTAAATCATCACGAGCTGTTAGACTGCAAAGAAGGGCCTTGCAGTTAAAGTACAACCCAAGTAAGGGCTCTGGCTACTGTTGATGTTTGTGCCAGACAGGACTGAGCCCGGCTCGCTGCTGCTCAGCTGATCCCACTTGCGGCAAAGGAAGCTGTTGCGTGCGCTAGCTGCCCAGCCCGGCTGCCAGGAGGTGCCGGAGCAGGCGGCACCGGGCCCCGCTACGTGGGCAAGTAAACACCGGGCCGGACCGGCAGGGCCCGGGGCGCTGCCGGTGCCGCTGCCGGAGGCGGAGCGCCCTGGGCGCTTCCTCCTCTTCCTCCTCCTCCTCCTCCCCCCGGGCCAGCTGCCCCCGCGAGGCCGGGGCCCGGGCGGCCGCCTCACCTTCACCCGCTTGCCCTGGATCTCCAGGCTCTTCATGGTGAAGTCCACGCCAATGGTGCTGCCCTGGCGCTCGGCGAAGGCCCCGGTCTTGAAGCGCTGCACCAGGCAGGTCTTTCCCACGCTGGCGTCGCCGATGAGCACCAGCTTGAAGAGGAAATCGTAGCTCTCCTCCTCCCGCCGCCTGCCTCCGCTCCCGCCCGCCGCCTCCTGGGCATGGCCGCCCGGGCCGCGGCCTGCGGGGCCCCGCGCCCTACCCTGTCCTGCCCGGGGCGCCCTGTTCCCCCGCAGCCGCGGCTACTGGTGCTCTGGGATAAGCAGGTGCCGCGGCACCGTTAGTGCTCTGGGAAGCGCGCTGGGCTGCCTGGTGGCCTCCCAGCCACAGCTCGGGGCCAGGGTGCGGTTTGTCTCCAGCGTTACAGGCTGATGCCCAGGGCTACGCTTTTTTTTTAATGTTCACCCTTGCAACCTGCTGTGCTGCTCAGACACGTCTTTAAGACTGTTAACGTTACACTGCATTTTACCATACATATACTTGTGCAATGTTTTACATGTATATATGTATACAAACTGGTTGCATATATTGAGATAAATGTGCTTCCTCAATGTGTAATCCTGTGTATTTTAGCTGTTACCTAGGTATGATAACAAACAGCTGTTTATCAGATACTTTTTTATCTCTATATATTTTTCGAAGATGATGTGGTGAGTCTAGATGCTAATAAGCTGCTTTACCAATAAAATACTCTGACAGGGACATTTTGCTAGTATGCTTTTGTGAATAAGGTTTGCTAAATCCTAAGGTTTGCTAATTTTGCAGATGAGGGGAAAAAATGAATTGCGAGTGTGTTTAGTGGCAGTTTTCCAGAGAGAGATATTTTCCCCTTGTGTTCCTGTGCAGTAGGAAGACAACTTCTTTTTTGAGTGGGCCATGGTAGACTGACCAGGCTAACTTGCATTGGATGCTCCAGGTCAATAGATTTTATTTTTATTTATTTGTTTGTTCATTTGTTTTTGGGGTGGAGGGGGTGAGGTGTGGGATTGAGGGTGTCTTAATTGTTACTCCTTTTCCAGACCCCATGTATTTTTGGTGATCCCTGGTAACCATCCAGTAAGAGCAAAGATATGAGTACTCTGTCATGCTGGTACAAAGACTTTTTGCTACCAGTTGCCTGCAATTATGAATTGAATAGGCCACTGAATTTAGGAATATTCATCTGCCAGGACAGAAGAGTTAACAAGTAAGAAAGATGTTGATGTGTGTGCGCCCTCGTAACACCTTTTTATCTTGTCGGTGCATGAGCAAAACAGGCAAATGTAGAGAAGTTTGATTACTTAAAGGAAACAGTGCTAGATACATCAATCTGAAACAGTGCTAGATATGTCAATCTTTAATAAAGTATTTAGGATTAATTGTATGATGTAATTTTAGTGGAAAGTTAAGCTTACTACTTTCATGAAAGTAATTATACAATCAGGTATTCTTTGATCCTTGCTGTCTTTTACAATAATCTTATTTACTTTTACATTAAATCTGCTTATTGTTGCTTGTCTTTATGAGCCCTTAACCGCTCCTAGAACAAAGAATTGCCCAAACATAAAAGCGTAAGTATAATAAAATGATGCGATAATTTAAATTAAGTGAAAGTTCTCTCAAATTGTGAAAACTGTAAATAGTTTGAATGTGAAAATGCTTGTATCTGTTATTCCTGAGACTGTGCTGGGATTAACACCTGTTTGAGGCAATTCTTAGGGAAAAAAACAAATGGGTTTGATTTAGTTCCAGTTTGTTTCGGTTTATTTTTGAATCATTTATCAGAGAATGGCAGTGAGAGATAGAAACCAGTATGAAAACATAGTTGAGGCTCTCTGTAATGGCCTTGAATGCAAGGGCATTCTCTTAGCCAGCTCAATTAGTTTAACCAGAGAAGCTGACTGATTTTATGTCAGAGAGGTCGAGCTGCAAAGTACAAGGTTTCTTACAAATTTGAACTTCTGCTAGTGGAATTTGGGTAGTAAGATTGTATTTCATTTCCAAGAAATTGCTTCATATGAAGCAAATTAATTTCTGACCTTAAATTATACCCTTATTCATTATTACCTGACAAAACCTTGAATATTGATGATAATAAAATCTTGATTGCATATATTAAAGTCATACTTGCATTTTGTGACTGTGGAGCATACTGTTTTGTTTATGAAAGCAGACTGCCAGTCTTCTCAGTTTGGTAAGATAATATTTTTGATCCTGGTATTAATGTTTGAGTTAAAATACCTTGGGCTTTAAAAAATTACTTTATAGTCATGTGGACTTTGCACTAGCACTCAGGCTTCTTGGAGTCTTTTGGGCCTTGTATTGTTTGTGGCTTGTTGTAACAGAAACTTTGCTCTTGCCTGGCCTTCTCTGCTGGTGCTTGCACCGGTGCAGTGAAACTGCAAGTTATACTGAAGCTGCTGACCCAGAAGCAGGGGAGAAAATGGTGTCAGAAACTTCTGCACCAAAGATTCTTTTCTGTGTGCTTGTCCTTGTAAGCTTGCAGAGCTTAATTTTGTTTCAGTAGGATTCTTGTATGTTTCCTTCATTGATGCTTCCTAGCAGTGAATTAAATTCTGTTGCGCAGCTGTTTGACAAAGTGTGCAAGTTTATCATGTGTGGTGTGTTTGTCAACCAAAGTAAGATTGTTTAATTTATCAGCCAAGTTTCCGAATAAATAAGTAGTAATAATTTTAATTGCATCCAAGTGGCTTTCCAAGTTACTTCTGAGTATTAGAAGGCATAGGCTGTTTCTGATTATTTCAGATGACTCAGTTGTAGATACTGGATTCATTGCCATATGATATATTATGTTCATTTACATAGCTTAATTACCTTCTATATGAATTAAATGCAAATTCTCCTTTACTTAGTTTCTAAAGTTTTTTTTTAAATCAGTCTTAGTCAGCCATCCATTTTCCTTGTCTGTATTCTGTAGAAAGTCAGAAAGCCAGTCATTGCATGATTTTTTTTTATTGCAAAGACAGTGAAAGGAGACATGGCACTTCAGAAGCCATGCCAATTAATAGAAATGGATTTCTTAAACACATGTGTTAATCTCTCGTTTTGGACACCAAAGAGTTGCTGATGAAACTAAAACCATGATTCTTTGCAGTCAGGTTTAATTGGCAAATCATCACAGGCCAGTCCCCTAATTTTTAGAATCTGTGTGTGGTTCCTTGAGTTGTGTGTTGGCCTGTATCGTCTTGCTGCTGTAGACTGCAGATTTATCTTCAGGAATGTAGGATAAGGGGAAAGGGTGAAATCTCTTTGAACAGTGTATGTGTTCATTAATTTTCCTCTTTTACATTCCAGACACAATGAAAACCCTACAGAGCAGCCCTGTGCACATGTATTCAGGCTTTACTAGCTGACTTCTGGCTGGCTGTACATTCATGAAATATTATTTGAAATGCTAAATATTTGAGCTCCACCTGGAAATTTGCATAGTTCGGTGACTTCATATTCTTCTGCGAAGAATTAATATAGTTCCTGTAAATTTATCAGTTATTAGCAACAGCCTTCTTGCTGTCTCTGCATGTCTAAGTTGCCAGGAATACTTTAATAGTTGGATATACTGATGAGTATTATCCTTTGCCTGGTATGGATTTCAGAGAGAAATGTTTTATCTGACTACTGGGCCCTTCATGTCAGTGATGTTGAAGGTACAGAACTTTTGAAGTTCTTTGGATCGTTCAACATGAAAAATTGAATCTGATCCTCACAGAATTTCATTTTTTTATCAGACAAATAAATAACATTCCTATTTTCTTCAAGATACTTGGGTACCTGATGCTGCAAACTGAGGTACAGATAGATACTGTCAGATAATTGTGCTGCATTAATATGTGTTTTACCTTGACTGAAGTGGAGAAAGTGCCCTGATTTAGTGTTTTTCCATCTTAGGCCAGTCTGATGGTCTTTCTTTAAATATATATATTTATATGTATATATTTTTTCCTCTAAACTGAATCAGTTTCATAATTTGCCTTGTCTGGTATCTGATCTATTTATGAAATGTTTCAAAACATTTAGCAACAGTAGACAATAGAAGAGCTTGTTCCATATGGAAATTTTTCCCTGACCCTTGAGACATATATATAGTCCTGAATAATCCCCTTTTGAAAAATTTGAGGGTGTTGCAGCTGCACATACACATGTATAATGTTACCCATAGAAAAGTTCAATTTCTTTTCCAATCAGACAAACTGTGAAACTAAATGATGCTATAAGACAGTTCTGCAAAGTGTGCAAAAATTATATATTGATTCTGGAATTGCCGTGTTTGATTAATTGAATTATCCTGTATTTTTATACTCTAGCAGAATGAATAGAAATTCCATTTACCTTATTCAAGCTATTGTTTTTCCCTCTCCAAGATTTATCTGTCTTTGTGGTCTTATAAGAGTTTTTCTGTATTTTTATTCATGTTTATAGATCATTTCTGAGCTGCTACTTTTTTTGTTTTCGGGTGCTCTTTTTGAGTAGAAATAGCCTTAACAATACCATTCCCAGAAGAGGCCATGCCATTGCTATATAGCATAGCAAAATAACAGTTCCTTTCATTATTGTGTCTTAGGGCCTTTAAAAATTGTGATGCTGCAAAAGCTAGTACCCGAGTTGTGTTTTCAAAGTCAATGCACTTAATTCTAAAGTAAGCTTTATGTAAACTGCCCTCCTTGGGTTTTTTTTTTTTTTTTGCCATTATTGTAACTCAATTTTATCACTCATCTTCCTCTCTCTTTAATGATGTCACAGGGAATTGTTGATAAAATGAAATAAAGCTTGTAAAACACTGCAATATGTCAGCTTAGATGCCTTTAATTTAGTAAGGGCATATATTAGCTTAGTACCATTATCTAAAATATACTGATATCTGTTATCTTTTGAATTGTGTAAACAGAATAAGTAGTGACTGCAGAAATTTCTTCTCTTTTCAATCTATTTTCTTTTTGTATTTTGTTTTCTTTTTGTATTTTGCGGAGCTTTCAGTGCTCGCGTGTGAGAGTCCAAAAGTGAAATATTCCCATTTTACTTCTTGTTACAGATCTGTTACTTCTTTTGCTTTGTCATCAGTAATAAAATGCAGTGGCTAAGTATAGCCTGAAATATTTGTACCAACTGTTGCTTTTGAATTTTTACAGGTGCAGTGGGTCACTGAACATGGGAAATACTTTGTCCAGTACAGGATGCAGTTCAGATTTTTGTATTAGTTATGCTGCCTCTGGAGGACTCAGACAAAT